GACGAGGACCGCGCCCGCGGCCCGGCCGGCCCGCGGCCGCCGCAGCTTAGCAAGCAACCCGGCCCGCCGCTTACGGCCGCGCAGCTGCGGCAAGCCGTCGCGGGCTTTTCCGCGTTCAGCGGGCTGCCGCACTCGCCGGCGCACCCCTACTGGCGGATGCTGCAGCCCGCTGGGCCCGACGAGGTCCTCGAAACAGGGCCGGAGGGGGATCAGCTGGAGGTGTTTGCGGTGCCGGGGGGGGCACACGACGCGAGGGCGCACGCGCAGCAGCTGGCGGGCGAGTTGGGGGACGACGTGGATGTTGATGCGGCGGAGCCGCTGGAGTGGGAGCAGCGGTAGGCAGCGCGGCGACATCAGTGTGCGCTCGACAGCGTGTTGACAAGCTGTGCCGAAGAAGCTGCTGCGTAAGGCCGGCTCCCGCGGTGCTGTCTCAGTACCACAATGGCCCGAGGCTTTATCTGTTTGGGCATGGCTGTTGGAAATGCGTGTTATTTGGGCTCCCACGGTACGCATTGTCATGCGCGACTACAGTGCGCTCCTGCTGTTTTGCGGATGGGATGACAGCACGACGGCTTGCAGGTGCATCCGCAGGCATTGCTTCTGTCTCTGCACCCCTCTTGCTTGTCTCTTGGGCATGTTGCGCGTGCCGTGCTTTTGAGTGCTCCCTGGCTGTGTGCGCAGCCGGGGCCCATCCTGGTGGTTGCCAGCTGTCCGTTTGTCACCAGCTGCTCTCTGTTGCTGCATGCACTTGCACACTCTGCGCGGCCCCGGCCAGCCCGCCGGAAGGCGGGTCCTCGCAACCCTCGCGCCGTGGTTATCCTTGATGACCCTTCACAACTCCAAACCCACAGCAATGTGCCGCTGCCGGCCGCACACGGGCTTGACGGTGCCGGCGTGCTTCTGTAATCATTCACTCACCAACATGAGAAGGACGCTAGAAGCTTGTACCGGGTGCAGTGACAACAGATGCTGCAAGTGACGAACAGTTGGATGACGAATAACAGGGTGCCCCACTGTAGCCGTACATATCGGAGCGGCCCGAGCACCATTTGTGGGGATGGACTCTAAACTGACGAAACCGTCTGCTGTCAAGTCAGGCGTGCCCCATTGCTGCTCAGATGGCCCTGCCCACCCGCACGCCTGCCCAGGGTGGCGCTTGCCCGTGTGCGTTCCAATCTTCCTGCACGAAGCGTGAGATGTCGTCGCCAACCTCTGTCAGCGGCGGCGGCTGCGCGCACCTCTGCAAGGCCTGAGTGTCTGCAGATAAGGGACTATGGGAGTTGCGCGTTGTGCTGTGCGCAGCTCACGCGCCGCTTGGGACACCAGTGCGACCTGGCGATCCCTTGCTGCTTGCTGTTCGTCCTTGGCGTGGATGGACACGGCCTGAACAGGGAGCGTGCCAGATGCCAAGGATTCAACCTGACTGACTTGCTGTTTGTTGATGACTGGTGCTTGCTGACTAGTTGCTGCTTGCCAGTCTGGTGCAGTGCGTGCAGCAACCCCTCCGCCTATTTGCCCTACGTCCTCATTCACTATGTTGGCAGCGGCAGAATGCATGTTATTGGAAACGGGTTTCTTGGGCGCCGGCAGCTTTGGTGACATGGAGGTGCGCACAGCGAGCAGCTTTCGTGGGGCCAGGCTAGTGCTTGTGGTGATTCATAGGCTGTTGCGCCGTGGATGCCGTTTTTACACCCTCCGTCAGGCCTCGAGTCAATGCCTTTGACGGACATCACGCGCCAACCTTGACCCCTGTTTCATGTACCACCATGTTACCTGCTAGTGTCAACACTTCTTGTGCAATGGGTTGCATCAAGCTCAGCCCACTTGCGCTGTCACGGCGACGACTTGCAGCCAAGCGAGTGTGCATCCGCTCAGTTGCATTGTGAGCTGCTTGTTGGGTTGCCGCTTCGTTTGCGAGGGTCCTGCTCGCGCCTCGCATCAATCTTGTCACGACTTGTTCGTATAGTGCAAGAGGCAATTGAAGCCCCGCCTGGAGAAATCACAAATGTTCTTGTTGTCACTCGCTGTGTCACCCGAGCAAGATCGCGATGTTCTAAGCAAAATAGAGCGTACGAATGTGAATCCACTGATCAAACGTAGAGATGATGATCGGAAAGGACAGCGAGCGATCTTCTAGCAAGGACCATTGAAGGACGTGGGCTGGTGCACAGTCTGCGTGTTGTCTATCAGGCGAGCTGCAACAGCGGTTGTAGTTGTCCGCATGTCTGTGTAAAGCTTTCACAGTGCGTGTAGCTCGGCGGTCAAGAGCGTGCGCACGGCCGCCGCTGCCGCCGCGCCGCCGCATGCGTCCACTGTTTGCTGCCGCCGCTGTCAGCCCCTGGCCCACAGGCTGAGGCATGTGTTAGAACTGCTCCTAGATGTCAATTGGCATCTATCATCGCTTCCTGACTCACTCATCTCATCATACTGCTCCTGCCGTCGCCACGCCCCTCCGCAAAGCAGGTTGCACAGCGCTGCCGAAACAAGCAGCGGCCTTCTGTGCGGGTCGGACATCGTAGGCGGCTGAGGCGCGGGCCAGCAGCTGCAGGCGCAGCGCGGCAGCAGCTGCGGCGTCCCCGCGAACGCAGCGATGGCGGGCAAGGCCCACCAGAAGCGCAAGTCGGGGGCCAAGGCTGACAAGAGGAAAAAGGCCGAGAAGAAGAAGAAAGAGGGGGCAGATGGCGAGGTGAGGCCCTTCACTCGCAGGAGAGGGAAAAGGAATTTCAGGAGTCAGGGACCCAGCGGCCGCCCTGGCGATCCAGCCTGCGCCGTTAACTGATGGACTCGCTGCAGCTGTGCCACTGGCCTGCCCTTGGCCAGGGCAGTCGGCACGCCACGCCGCGCCCCCGGGCCTTGCCTGCTGACAGCCCCGCCCCGCCTGCCCCGGCCCCGGCCTCGCCCTCGGCCCCCCAGGCCGCCCCCGGCAAGTCAGCCGAGGCCGCCAAGGGGCAGAACCCCAAGGCGTTCGCGTTCCAGTCGGCCGGCAAGGCGCGCGCGTCGCGTGCCCGTAGCGCTGAGAAGGAGCAGCGGCGCATGCACGGTGAGGGGTTTGGTTGGGGCTGCGCCTCGCGACGGCCGGCCGCCTGTCTCGGAGGGAAGGGGGGCCCTGGGGCGCTGCGCCCGGCGGCGGGGAGGCCCGTGTGGTTGCAGGCGCACGCGAGGCAGGGGCCGCTGCAAGCGCGTCTCCTGGCGTGTTGTGGCGGCCCCACGCGGCTGGGGCGAGGTGATGCGGCCGGCCGGTGGCTATGCTGATGTACTGGGGTTGTGCCATAACGCAAAGCGCACAGCGCTCCTTGCGCCGCTCGGACCCGATCCTAGCACTACCCCCTTGGCAGCCCGCCCATTGGTGCCAAAACCCGGGCATCAACCGTGCGCCCCTTGCCCCGGAATCCTCCTGCCCTCCACAGTGCCCATGGCGGAGCGCGCGGCAGCGGTGGACCCGGCGCCGTTTGTGGTGCTCGTGCAGGGCCCGCCGCAGGTGAGTAAGGCGCCACCCGTGCGGGGGTGATCTGGTGTGCAGTCAAAGCCGCGGCCACTCCGATGCATGCTATCGCGGCGCACGTTCAGCGTGGGTTGGGCTCGTCAGCGCTCCTTCTGCCGCATTTCTTGCCTTCCGTTTGAAGCTGGCCCTGAACCTCACTCAAACTTTGGGATTGTCGACGCTAAGTAGCGTCTTCTCGAGCGACCTGCGGCCCCGGCCGTAATCAACAACCCAACCAACTTCTCCAGGTGGGCAAGACGTCCCTCATCCAGGCTCTGGTGAAGCACTACACCAAGCAGAACCTGGCCGACCCCCGCGGCCCCGTCACCGTGGTGGCCGGCAAGAAGCGCCGCATCACGCTGCTCGAGTGCCCCCCGGACGTGCCCGGTGCGCGCCGTCTTTGCGTCCCACTTGGGGGAGCGGCGGGCGGCTGCGTGCCTTGTGCAGGCCCCTTCCCCTGCTTCAACCCCAGCGCCACCCGCAGGCCCCTCGTAGCTTCACCAAACACTCCGTTCACCCAAGCTCATCGTTGCCCGACTCCATCATCACAACCCACCATTACCCTTGACACGCACCTTCACCGACAACCCCCCCCCCCCCCGTCCCCCAAAAACCCCATGACCTCAATTCCCCAGGCATGCTGGATGCCGCCAAGACTGCTGACCTGGTGCTGCTGCTGGTGGACGGCTCCTTTGGCTTTGAGATGGAGACCTTTGAGTTCCTCAACCTCCTGCAGGTGCGGGGCGTGATTGCTGCTGCATGTGTGGTGTGTGATTGCTGCTGCACGTGTGGTGTGATCCTGCTGCCAAGAAGCAGGCCCCCAACCAAATCAGGAGCTGAGGGGGCGTGCATGTGTGCGCAACTGCGCGCTTTTGGTGTATGACATCCTCTACATTGTACAATATCACAGCGGCCGTTTGCACGGCCACTTGAATGGCGTGGGTCCCATGGCAAATCAACCATGTGTACTAAAACCACACACGTGAATCAAGCCCGATTTCCCTGCTGCCTTCCGCACATTTTTCTCAACTGTTGATCCCAGCATTCCCGCAGTGTCCACTGGTTGCATCCTGTGCGACCCACCCCTCTGCTCCTTCGTCTTCGCCTCACAACAGGTCCACGGGTTCCCCAAGGTTATGGGTGTCCTGACCCACCTGGACGGCTTCCAGGACATGAAGAAGCTCAAGAAGGCCAAGAAGGCCCTCAAGGTG